CCATACTTCCTCCATAAAATTTATCTACAATAACTCTCTTCCATAAACTATGGTCTTCCTTCCCAAATCTGTCCCACCACTTCCCTAGAAGGGCTATGTTCCTACATTCCAATTCCGGCACACCGAGACCTCCCTCATTTCTACCCTTGCAAACTTTCTCCCAACTTAGCCATGCTATTTTATTTTTCTCCTCTGTATAACCCCACAAGAATTTTCTTTGTAAGCACACAAGTTCATGAAGCACGATCTTAGGAATTTTAAAAATGGACATAAAATAAATTGGGAGGGTAGAGAGAACAGACCTTAGCAATGTAAGTCGGCCACCAATCGATAGGCTTTTCGCTTTCCAGACTGCCAGCTTTTTATTAAAGTTGTCAATAACTGGAATCCAAGGCTTTCGTCTGCACATACTGTCACCTATTGGCATCCCGAGGTAAGTGAAGGGAAACTCTCCAGATTTGCAATTAAGATTAGCTGCTGCCATTCTCCTCCATTCTTCCGAAACACAGCATGAGTACAAGACACTTTTGTTGAAGTTAGTCTTCAAGCCTGAGATCAGTTCAAACCATCTCAAAATTCCTTTCACTGCTTTAATATTGCCCGGTTCTGCCTTCCCCATTATAATAGTATCATCAGCGAATTGGAGATGTGAGATGTTCAGATCTCCGGAGCCTACAGGAATTCCTTGGAATAGTTCTTTGTTGACAGCTGATTCGATTAACACATTCAGCCCTTCAGCCACAATAAGAAAGAGGAAAAAAGTTACATTATATATGTTTTGATTTAAAATATTTATAATATGGAGAATGACAGAGAGAGAAGAAGGGAGGAAATAGGGTAGAAAAGGCATATATATATATATATATATATGATGATAAACAGAGATGTAAGAAATTAGTAAAAAAATAATTAATTAATGGATAATATTTTAATTAATTAAATTACTTTGTGTAGTGTTAATTACCCACTCCCACTATTAGAATAAAATGTCAGATAAATAGCTTCCATAAAAATGAGGGATCTGGAACAGGAAACATGATCATAAAGTATAGAAGGTTGTGCACGGAAAGACCACTTCACGAGTTGCTACAGGCCACCATATCTGAAGAGGATGCGGCGTTTGAGTATGCCCGGAGTCTAAACAGCTTCGGTACCTTCGCACCTGTCCTTCATGCGTCTATCCACCTCGGCCTCTTCAATATCATAGCTCGAGCAGGCCCTGCAGCAGAGCTCTCCGCACTGAAATTGCTGCTCAACTCGCCACCAAGAACCCAGATTCACCTTTTTATCTCGACCGCATGCTGCGACTCCTTGCTTGCTACTCTCTTCTCACCCGCTCTTCGAGATCCATTATCCATCGGAAAAGAAGAAGATGAGAAGGTTGAGAGAGGCTCTGTGGACTTGCTCCCCCGGCGAAAGCCTTTGTTCCGGTGAAGATGGAGCTGGCTTGTCCGCATTTCCACCCAATAAAGGAATGATAGAGTCCTTGTAAGCGAAATGCTTTTCTTTTGATTTACAACTAAGTACTCCCTTGCAAAATATCACATTTAGATACATTTTCCATTTTGATTTGATGGCTAATTAAAAAAAAAAGAAAAAAAAAAACAGTTTTACTATACTACTGTTATAAAAAAATTAAAATTTACTTATACACTATATATATATAATTTTAATTATTTTTATTTTTATTTTTAATTATTAAAATTTATTTATTTTTATTATTTTTATTAAAAATAACTATTTTTTATTTAAAAAATTTATTAAATCTCAATTAATAAAAATAAAAAAATAAATAATTAAAATTTTATATAAATATACTATATAAAATTTCTTTGTAATTAAATTTTTTTAATTATAAAAATAAAAACTGTTTTTAATTTTTTGTGCTTTATAATTTGTAGATTTGCAGTTTTACAATCTAATCTTTTAATATAGTTTTTTCAATGTACTAATAAATTAAATCTGAATTATTATTCATCAATTCTAAATCATTGAATAAAAAATTTTATTAAATAGTTAATTTGTAACCATTTTAAAATAAACAAATTTAATAAACAAGGAGTGATTTGTACAAAACCACTCACGACCACCACTGAAACCGCTGTACAAAGAAGCACCTACTATTAAAATGAAAAAAGTTGAACCGGAAATTTAGGTTCAATTGTTCGACCCAATTTTTAAGTGTTTGAGGGAGGTAATCAGAGTTTTTAAGTTTACCACCGTCGTAAACTCCATCAAAAGCGACTTGATGGCCGTGTGTCTCATTTGAAGGGATGGAATGTTCATTCGGTTTGGGAATCGAATCCCCAGTTGCTAACAACTAATTCATACTAACTTTCTAACTATTACCCTCTCATAAATATAATATATATATATAATTACCAAAAAAAAAAAAAAAAGTCAAATAAAATTAAGGCAAAACCATAAGTTAAGCCCCTGAACTAACCATAGAATCACTATTACACCCCTAGACTTTAATTGATGCAATTAAGCCCTCGAACTCTGGGATCAAAGCAATTAAGCCCTTCTTCTTAAGCAATTCATTTTAAAAATTAAAGTCTAGGAGCTTAATAGCGTGAGAAGAAGGGCTTAATTGCTTTGATCCCAGAGTTCAAGGGCTTAACTGCATCAATTAAAGTCTAGGGGTTTAATAGCGATTCTTGGATTAGTTCAGGGGCTTAACTTATGGTTTTGCCAATAATTAATAGCTGTTTCGGATATAAAGGATCTAAAACGGGTTAATGACATCTACCGTCCCTCTACTATAAAAAATAATGCAATCTAAACCTTCTACTATGGATTGGGTTAAATAACTATTTTTAAATATTATAATTAACTAATAAAAAATTATAAAGTTATAAAATTATAAAAAAATTAATAATCTTAACAAAATTATTAATTACTGTAAGCTCAACAGTATTAAATTATTAACGATTTTAACTGTAACAATATCTTTAATGTAAAAGAAAAGACTTCAAAAGAATTGTTTATAAATGATTTTGTCCTATTAAATGACTTGATTATGGTCGTCCCATCAATGCAACAAATAGTTACTTTGTCTAATGAAAAAGCCTCTTATCGGTTGGAGATGATGTGGTAAGGGTGGAGCCCACAAGGTAAGGTGGCAAAAAAATTTTAAAAAGGCTTAACTGGTGTGACTGTTAAACTTAACGATCAATAAACATTACCATTAGCTTGCATTGGACGGAGGGACGACATTAATATGTTTTAGCACTGTAAAGGGACGAGAGGTGGAGTTAATTGATAATAGAGTAAGGATGTCAATGGGGCCCCGCGGGGCCGGGGAGTCCTTCCCCATCCCCGTCCCTGCGAATGACGGGGACGGGGATCCCCGTGGGGATTTTTGACAGGGGGGCAAAATCCCCATTCCCCACCAATTAACATCAAAATACATATTTTTTACATCAAACATGAGTAAAAATTAATGAGGCGTGCATCAAACATATAGTGAGTGAGGATGATGGGATACTGCAGCTTCGACAGCAACTCTAGGCTTCAGTAGCAGATTGACAACAACTCCAGGCTCCAGCAGCAGATCGACAGCAGTTTCAATAGCAGATCTATAGCAGCAGCAGCAGCAGCAAATCTGTAGCAACAGCAGCAGATCTGTAGCAGCAGCAGCAGATCTATAGCAACAGCAGCAGCAGATCTGTAGCAGCAGCAGCAGCAGATCTGTAGCAGCAGCAGCAGCAGATCTGTAGCAGCAACAGCAGATTTGTAGCAGCAGCAGTAGCAGCAGATTTGTAGCAGCAGTAGTAGCAAATCTGTAGCAGCAAAAGCCAAAAGGGAAGGGGAAAGTCGAAGGTGAGGTTGTGAGAATGAGTGAGGAAAACTGCAGAAGCAAGAAGGGGAGGGCTATGAGGTGTGCTGCGTGAGTGAGAAAGGGAAATGAATAGGGTTAGGAAATTAGGGTTAGAGGAGGATGATGGGTTGTGTTGGGTTGGGTAAAGTTTAATTTTTATTGAATTGAGTTTGGGTTTGGATTTGGATTTGGATTTGAGTTTAATTTTAAAAATTAAATTAAATTTAAAATAGAATTAATTTATATACATTTTTTACATTTTTCGCGGGGATGGGGATCCTCGCGGGCCCCACAGGGCGGGGAAAATTCCCCGCGAAATTTTGCGGGGAGAAAATGTCCCCCATCCCCGTCCCACGGGGAGGAATATTCCTCCCCACCCCGTCCCCGTGACGGGGATCCCCGCGTAGCCCCACGGGGATCGGGGCAAATTGCCACCCCTATAATAGAGGGACGACATGGAGCCAATCCATAGTAGAAGGTTTAGATTGCACTATTTTTGATAGTAGAGGGACGATAGATGGCATTAACCCGATCTAAAACAGGAAACTTTACCACACCTAAAGAATAGAAGGAAGGTTGTGCACGGAAGGATCACTTCACGAGTTGCTACAGGCCACCATGTCTGAGGAGGATGCGGCGTTTGAGTATGCCCGGAGTCTAAACAGCTCCGGTACCTTCGCACCTGTCCTTCATGCGTCTATCCACCTCGACCTCTTCAATATCATAGCTCGAGCAGGCCCTGGAGCAGAGCTCTCGGCATCTGAAATTGCTGCTCAGCTCCCCACAAAGAACCCAGATGCACCTTTTTATCTCGATCGCATGCTGCGGCTCCTTGCTTGCTACTCTCTTCTCACGTGCTCTTCGAGATCCACCGGAGAAGAAGAAGATGGGAAAGTTGAGAGGCTTTATGGACTTGCTCCCCCAGCCAAAGCCTTTGTTCCCGATGAAGATGGGGCTGCCTTGTCCGCATTTGCATCCAATTTAGGAATTATAGAGCCCTTGTAAGCAAATTGATCTTCTTTTGATTTACAACTAACTAAATTCTTCCTTGCAAAATATACCAATTAAACACATTTTCTTTTTGATGGCTAATGAAAAAAATCTATAATTTTGCAGTCTACTTTACACTAAATTATTTCAAACAGAGAATTGTTTTAAATTTTTTACAAATTATAATTTGTAAATCTATAGGTTTACAATCTACTAGTGTCAAATTGTAAGATGTAAACTGTTTGTTAATTTTTTCTATTTTAATTTGTAGGCTATACTTGAAAGATTTCATCCTTGAAGGAGGAGGCAATCTGTTCGAAAGAGTACATGGGATGACCTTTTACGAGTATGTAAGTAGAGATCCAGAGTACAACAAAGGATTCAATAAGACATTAACTAATTATTCCAAAAGACTCATGAAGAAAATCCTTGAAATATACAAAGGATTTGAAGGAGTAACATCTTTACTCGATGTTGGTGGTGGAAGCGGAGCTATCATTGACATGATCGTCTCAAAATACCCGTCCATCAAGGGTATAAATTTTGACCAGCCTCATGTCATACAGAATGCCCCAACTTATCCTGGTAATTGAATTTTATTTATTAGTATATTTTTTAAGAAAACCTGAAGGGCATGTTTAGTCAGAGATACTAATTTTATTGAAAAATTTTTAATAGAAAATTGGTTAAGAAAATATTGTACCTAAAATTAACAAGTTTTGTAATGAAATTATATTAGAATCTTATTAATTCGTCGTAAAAACTCTATTTAGTATAATTGTAATTTGGATTTTTCGGTCTTGTGTTTAATAAATTTCACAACTTTAAATAAAAAATTTATTTATTCTCATGTGTTTTTATATTATATTATCATAATCATTAGAGAAATAAGAATAAAATCAATTTTAATACTACTATTAATCAGTTATTTGTTGTTAGTGTTAAAACTCCTCGTAAACAAATTTTTAGTTTTTGAATTTTAATATTGGTTTTCAATTGTTTCAAAATTATAAAAATTAAAACAAAAAAAAAAACCTAAAAAACCATAATCATAGTAAACAAAGCATAAGTTTTCTATTTTCTGTGAAAAAAATTGATACAGAAGAGTTATCAAGTAGGTTACATGTAAGGAATTATGTTGGGAAAATAAAAGCTGAAAACTATCACTTCTTACCATCTTTTGTTGTGATATCAAGATCTGAAAATACATAAATACCCTAAAGAATCCAAATAAGAAGGAAAGTTGTGGAGAAACTTTTCTCCCCAACCACAAACACCCCCAAGGGTTAGGTAAGTAAGTGTCTCGATGGCTCAAATGTATCTGAACTGTTCAAACAAAAAATTTTAAAGAGAAAAGAAAAAAAAAAAACCTATATTTTTAACATTAATTTGGTGAAATTATGTCTGCAGGAGTTGAACATGTTGCAGGAGATATGTTCGTAAGCATCCCAAAGGCTGCAGATACTCTTATGATGAAGGTGTGTTCCAGAACTACATTAGGGGTTGATTTTTCCCAAAAGAGAATTACCACATAGGGATTTATTTTGTGCATTTTTGCTTGCGGGTATATCATATATCCAAACACAGGATGTCCTTCACAATTGGAACGATGAACTATGTGTGAAAGTCCTTCAAAATTGCTACGACGCATTGCCGAGCCAAGGGAAGCTCATTGTTATAAGCTTTATGATTGCCGAGACAGCAGAGTCAAGCAGCGGTGCTAAGCATGTAGCCCACTTTGATATCACAATGTTTATGCATCATGGAGGCAGGGAAAGAACTGACAGAGAGTTCAAGGCCTTGGGCAAGGCAGTTGGGTTTTCAGGTTCTGAGGTCGTTTCGTTTGCTTATAACTCGGTTGCAGTCATGGAGTTCTACAAATGATTTGGCACGCAATGCCTATTAAACTTCTCCAACGTATGGTTAGGAAAATGATCACTTGGTGAAATTATTACTCATATGGTTAATTTTATGCGTTTTGTTGGAATGACAATGGATCATCGAAACATAATTTTCAAGACAAATTGCACATCAAAGGTGTAGTTTGAACACTGAAATTATTAGAAAGTGTTTACACCTAAAATAAACCAATAGGGTAAGGCCACGTGTCAAGGTAAAGCCCGATCATCAAGAAAATCAATAGGCTGGATTTGGGCTGGGTTGGCTTACAATTTAATGGCCCAGACGGATTTCCAAGGAGGTTGGATCTTAAGTGGTAGAAGATAAGATTGGATCTGGTAGTTTAAGTTTGATTTAAAATGGGAAATTGAGGATTTTTAGGTAGTTATCTTTAAGGTTGTTGGAGATAAGGTTAAATAAAAATTGGATAACTATTAAATAACTGCCAGACCTGCAATCCCATTACCAGATCATGGAGGAACAGTGCCGAAAATGGAGGAACAGTACCGAAGATCATGGAGAAGATCATGGAGGAGGTTACCAGCATCGAAGGGAACGAAAACAGAGAGAAGAGAACAGTTTAAGGCCTGCCCAACACACACACAGACTGCCTAGAGCATGTTTTTCAGCTTTCAGACTGCATTTTCCAGATTTCAGCAATAGTTTCCAGATTTCCCAGACTTTCCAGATTAGTTCATAGCCTTAGCCTAGGTTTGTTCATCTTTGTTCATATTTCCTTCCGCAAATTCCAGTTTAGATTTATTTTTAAGTATTTGGAAGCAACTTAGCCTTCAAAACAGGTCTGCCCTTTTGATCCGGTTAGTTCTTCTTCCTTT